GTTTGGGGGGGCTGCAACAGAAAGGACGTGGCTTTTTAGACTAAAGGGAGGCTGGGCCTGTTGTTAGTTCAGAGGCCTCGGCTTAGATCGCAGCTACTCTTGCCAACCAGGTGTAAAAGCGTGTGTAGAAGGGGAGAGGGTTTTAATGCTTCTCCCCTTCCCGAGCCTCCGGTCCTGAGGGGCTGGCCCTGAGGGAGGACTGAAGGCGGCCTTGCCAGGGTAGGGGCTGGGGCTGCGCTGACAGGACCCCCACGAACAGCTTTGGGGATCGGCCCTTGCTCTCCACATAAAGAGGGGCAGAGCTGTCGCACAAGTGTCCGGGTGGTTCCAACAGCAGACCCCACGAGGGGGTCCCCCCAGGCGCCAGGCTGGGCTCCCGCCTGGAAGCTGCTGCCAGAGACTGAATAGCCCGCTCGTTGCCTCACAGCTTGCTCGCTTGTGTGCTCAGCTGATCACCATTGCCACAGGGAAGGTGACAGCAGGTGGACAAAGCAGCAGGACAAAGCAGCAGCAGGTCTGGGGGTGCTCTGATCAAACACCCACCAACAGCTTTGGGGATCGTTCATTTCTCCAAATAAAGAGTTGCAGAGCTTTCACAAAAGTGTCCTGGTGGTACCAACAGCACAACCCCGTGACGCACCAGCGCTGGCTGAGCTCAATGCCCAGGCAAAGGCATGGATGCACACAGTATTGGCAGGGGGCAGCCACCCCCCAGGGCCCCCCGGGCCCCGAGGGCCTGGGGGAGCCCATGGCCATGGCCAGGATCAGACAACGACACCCACCTGACTCACTCACACTACGGCAGACAGTGACAGGAGACCCACCTGGCTGCTCACATGGACTGCTGAGGGTCCCTGAGGTGAGGGAAGGCTTATTGCAGCGGGGTCATCTGGCCGTGGGCCCCCTCACGTGGGATACCCAGGAAAAGGGGGAAGCCCTTGAGGCATGAGCATGGGGTTAGACTACGGGCTCTCTCTGAGACTGTCCAGTGGGCTGCCAGCTCCCTTTTTACTGCAATTGCTCAGGTTTCCCTCATCAATGCCTCATGACTGTCCTCTGGGGTCTGTGTCAGGAGGGGCCTGTAGAGGGAGAGATTTGCCTTTGCCTGGCAGGGACTGCTGTTTACATTGGCCGGCTTACCCCACAGGGTTTTATAGAGAGTCCTACTTTTGCTCATGCTCCACTGCCTATAGAGCGAGAAACCTTAACATCACCAAGACATTACTGTCATACTTGGAAGGGACCTTCAAAAGGCCTTCTAGCCAACCCCCTGCAATGAGCAGGGCCATCTTCAATGAGATCACGTTGCTCCAACCTGACCTTGAATATTTCCAGGGATGGGGCATCTACCACATCTCTGGCCAACCTGGGCGTGTTTCACCACCCTCATTGTAAAAATGTCTTCCTTACATCTAGTCTGCATCTCCCCTCTTTTAGTTTAAAGCCAGTACCCCTTGTCCTGTTGCAACAGGCCCTACAAAAAAACTCTGTCCCCATCTTCCGTAGAATCCCCCTTTAAGTACTGAAAGGGAGCACTCAGGTCTCCCTGGAGCCTTCTCTTCTCCAGGTTGAACAACCCCAACTCTCTCAGCCTTTCTTCATAGCAGAGCTGTTCCATCCCTTGGATCATTTTTGTGGCCTCCTCTCGACACACTCCAGCAGGTCCATTCAAATCCCCTTTGTGCACCACAATGCTTACTGTTATCTGGCTGAGTGATGCACATTCCTTCTGTCCTGTGCTTGGCAGCTCCATATACCAGTTCAGTTGGCATTTGTGTGTCTACCACTAACACCTGGCCACGATCATATGTTAGAAAGCCAGCATTTTCAAGGCCATCCTTTTCATTTTGTCCAACGGTGTGTGGGGACAGCAGAGTGTGTTTGTATTCACAGTTGCAGCACAGCCAGGAGAGGCTGCTGCTATGGGCATTATCCAGGTCCTTTCAGTCTCCTCTTCCAGGCTTCAAATTCCTACATCCCTTACCTTTCCTCCCTCGGACCTACTGCGAGACTCCAACCTGTACAGGACCTGTGTAGCATCATTTTTCAGCTGTGCCTCACAAGGCATTCTTGGTATTTGGAGAGCCAGAGTCCCACAGAAGGGGATGAGAAGGTACCAGTTTCCTCACAGAGAGCCCTGGGGTGAAAGCTAGAACAGGAAACGGCTCAGGGAACCCCCACGAAATTGCTTTTCCTAGGCCACACTTAAGGAGACTGTCTCGTAGTCACTGCCTGGATCTAACAAGCTCCTTCCCCCATCCCTGCTTGCCCAAGGAAAATTCTCAGCACCTTGGGGTTATGTGGAAATGCACCTTAGAACTCATCTAGGCCTGATTTGGGGGCAAAATCCAGCTCTTCTAACCCAAATTGCTGAGGGTAAGTTTGCTCTTTGGGCAGATGCTGCAGTATATGAATCCCTTGTAGAATCACAGAATCATTGGGGCTGGAAAAGCCCTTTAAGATCATCAAGGCCAACCGTTCCCCTAACCCTGCCATCCCACCACTAAACCCTGGCCCTAAGCACCTCCTCTGCCTGGCTTTTAAATCTCTCCAGCGATGGGGATGCCACCCCTTCCCTGGGGAGCCCCTTCCACTGCTTGACAGCCCTTGCGGGGAAGGAATTTTTCCCAATGTCCAACCTAAACCTGCCCTGGCACCACTTGAGGCCATTTCCCCTCATCCCATTGCCCGTTCCCTGGGAGCAGAGCCCGATGCCCCGCCCGGCTCCCCACTCCTGTCAGGCAGTTGTAGGGAGCGATAAGGGCTCCCCTCAGCCTCCTCTTCTCCAGGCTGAACACCCCCAGCTCCCCCAGACGCTCCCCAGCAGCCTTGGGCTCCAGACCCCTCCCCAGCTTCGTTGCCCTTCTCTGGACATGCTCCAACCCCTCCATGTCCTTCTGGGAGTGAGGGGCCCAACCCTGAACCCAGCATTCAAGGGTTGGCCTCATCAGTGCCCAGGACAGGGGCATGGTCACGGCCCTGCTCCTGCTGGCCCCACCATTCCTGATACAAGCCAGGATGCTGTTGGCCCTCTTGGCCACCTGGGCACACTGCTGGCTCATATTCAGCTGCCTGTTGATCAGCGCCCCCTGGTCCTTTTCTGCCAGGAGCTTTCCAGCCACTCTTCCCCACGCCTGTTGCATTGCATGGGGTTGTTGTGACCCCAGTGCAGGACCTGGCCCTTGGCCTTGTTGAATCTCATACAATTGGCCTGGGCCCATGGATCCAGCCTGGCCAGGTCCCTCTGCAGAGCCTCCCTGCCTCCAGCAGATCCACGCTCACACCTTGTAGCATCAGTGCAATACCAGATGCCAGACACAGGTGCCTAGCAGCCTTCCCTCAGGGCACCTGTGTATGAGGTGGCAAAATGAGACAGCAGGCATTGCAGGAGGCAGCGTTTGGCCACAAAGGGCCTAACTTGCATGTTTTTCTACTCATGATTCTTCTAGAGATATTTTGGTAGTTACCGTATCTTACTACAAGTTAGGAGTGAGTTGGCTCGTTGACTTGAGGCAAGACAGGGTCAAGGAAGAAGAGTCCTAATGTTATGGAGATAGACAGCACTGCAGCAGCAGAGGGTTTTGGCTGTATGGCGTGGTTGGGGGTTTGAGGATGCTGCGCTTCTGACATGACTGTGTGGTCAGGCTCAATAGAGATTACCTGTTTTCTGTGGTTTACTGCAGTAGCTGTTGCAGGGGGGACTTCATAGCTGCTGCTGATAGCGAGGTGACCTTCTAACAGGAGAGGAATCTCCTGGAAGAACAGAGAAGGCAGTAGACACTAGCCAGGGTCCTCCTGTCCCGTCCTGCCCCTGGCTCATGGCTGGTTTGCTGTGGCGGGATTCGGTGACAGCATCAGCATGACAAGGCAGTGCTCCTGATGATCACGAAGAGCTTTGCCCACACTGAACCCCCAGCTGCAAGGCTGTCACACAAAGCTGCGAGTCGGGTTTAATGCATGAGGATAAGGAAGAGGAATATTTGCTATTTAAGTATGTATATCACCCAGGTCACAAATTAATTAATGGGCTGCTGCTGAAGTTTGTAGGTTTGATTATTCGTTTAGATGGGCTATTTTTGGTTTTTTTCCCATGATGGGTTCAATCAGACATGGTGGCCAGTCTGGCTGTAATTGCAACTGCGTTTGTCAGTAAACCAAAAAACTTACTAAACAAAACCACCCCCAGTTCTACAATATCCATTTACATGGACTGGGTGTAGGTAATTTTTCAGATGCGAACACCCGACATCAACTTCAGAAAGATTGTTCTAGCCAGACCTAATAATATGTGGAAGTCCTTGTTAATTATACTGATATAAACAATACTGAGCTGGTTTCTACGCCCCAAGTGTATAATACCAGGGATTGGAGCTGTTAACTCAGTAAACTGAGATAATTTCTTGGAAAACTAAGACACCTGCAAATGCATCTTGGCATTTCCCAGTCTGCTGTCTAACACTGAACTGCTTATTATGTTGCTGTGCCTCTGTACAAAGCTGCTTTTGTGTATGCAATTCGTATGCAATATTTTACTTTCAAGTGTGCTTACTTTAGGATGATTCTGCAAAAGTATTTGTTTGGATCTGAGTTTGATATATGATCATCTAACAGTTGAAGCGCGTACAATTTATATACATTTTCAACTGGTCTATTTTTACCGAATAAAAGTATTTTGGAAAAGGACAGATTCTTGTTGAACTACTTAAATACATCAAACTGGATAACCTGTTAATTCTAGAAACCGGCACTCCAGTCCATATCCCAAGGCTGTAATCCAAAACAGCAGTTATGCTGGCATCCCAGTTCTTTCTGCGCTATTAAAAAAATGCCTCCACAAAGTGTATTGCAGATAATAAGATTTTCATTGATTATTTTTAGTAGCATTATGTTACATACATATATGCAAGTTTTTGCTGACGATAAGTATGGACAGAATTATATCCTTATTAAGGTTTGATAATTAAGTGTTTTCTCCCTTAAAATAAGACCTATAAAAGTTTAGCCAATATGGTGAAATTTTGCTCCTATTCAAAGTACTTAAAATGCCACAATCAGTTTTCTGTTAAAAACACTTTAAAGCTTTCTCAGTCAAAAAAGTCTAAATTAAGGCCTTGATAACTTAATACACTTCATGTATTTCTCTGCTGCAACACCTTTTAGAAACACACTGGTGACAATTATTTAAGAGATCTAAAAGAAGTTATCCGCTCTCAATAGCAGACCTCAAGATCTGTTCATTATTACTTTAAAATTGTTCGTCTTACTTTAAAATTTCTAAAAGGAAAAGGAGTTAGTAAGTTCAGTCAATATTTATTTTCTTCGAAGTAAAATCAAGTAATGTTCATGTAAACATATGTAATACATAAATATTAACTCAATCCATTAAACCTTTGGGTACCATGGCACTGAACTTATGGCAATAGTGTAACTTGAAAATAATGTTACTTGCTAATGACAGAGGTTTCTAAATCAATAAATACATCTGAAAACAAGAGAACAGTTCACGACAGAAAAGCATAGTACCTGAAACCAAACGTCACAGTACAGTCACGTGGGAGCTGGTCTTTAAGGACTGTGTAGATAGAACAATCGTCACTAAAACTCCCTCTAAAAAAATAAAACGCGCTCTTAATAACTACTATTACCTGAAGTTAGGTAAACCATGCCAGACAGCACAAAATACAACAGCTGCGAAATGCAAATAATTTGGTAGGTCCATCTAATTCTTCAGCATAGCTGTGCAGGAATCAAGAGGGATTCTCTGTTTCTTCCTTAAGTCTTTTTCTTTTTTCTTCCAGTGTTTGTTTAAATACTATTTTCAAGGTGTTGTAAACATACGGTCCATTTTCAGAATCAAAGCTTGTCTAATAAAAGGGAGAAATTCGAGTTCAGTTGTTAAATAGATGTCACACAGCAAATGCAAAGTAGATGACCAACCTTTTCTGAAAAAATTAGGTTTAAGGTTTATCAGAGGAAGTATGTGCTCCATGGTGGAGTCCTTGATGCTGAGTGTTTCAACGTTATGTGACTAGACATAACACAAGCTACTAGAAGGAGAAGTGTTAACAGGGGACACGTCTGTAGATTTACAATATTAAGAAGCAGTTTGACAGACGTCGTGTTCACATAATTTCACCTCCTGAATCTGAGAAAGCAGCTGTGAGCTGAGCAATACCAAGCTTAACCTGCCACAGGTACGAAAAGATTGCAAAAGCAGAAGTTATTTATATACATCCTATATTAAGGGCCCAAAACATAACTGAATTGTAATGTCATTTCAGAAAATTATTTCATCTGATGGAAAGACTCCAAGTAGAACAGAATCTACCAAAGCCTTTGGTAAACTACTCTGTGACTAATTATTCTCACCGCTTATAAATTATCTTCTCCGTAATTTGAGGAAGTCCCTGAATTGGCAGTGATCCGGGAACAGAAAAACACGACTAAAGGATTAAGGCCGTAGTGACAGCGTTTAATTTTTTTGAGAGTATTTCCTACCCTTTACATAGGCTGATTATTGTAAAATGTAAACTCCGAAATAGCTCAGCACGAGTACACTGACCGCAAAGGAATTACTGTAACTTTTCTCACAGAGACGTGCTCTGTTCATTCACCCTTCGTGATTTAAAACAAATAAATACGACGTCAGGGACAAAGGGTTACTTGCCTTAGTGAAAGCTTTAATAGCGCGAGCAAGTAAGGCCTCCTCCACGTCAGCTGGCAGTGTTTGCAAGTTCACCACACAGTGCAAAATACAAAGGATAGTCTGACACTGTTCCTGGTGTGAAAAAGGAACCGCAGCTCATTAGAAGAAATGTTTTCATGAAAAACACTTAACTTCCAGGTTTTGTTAATTGCTGTTTAAATATCAGACTGTGCCTTCCTGTATTGAAACCTTCAGGTGTAGGAGTTGGGGAGGGAACTTGCGCAAGCCTGAAGAGCCTCTACATAATTATTTCAGTTGTGATGGGAGAAACTCTTCTCCTGTAGCGTACCACAAGCTGCTCTGGAGATTTCCAGGAAGTCAGACATGCATCTGGGGACTTATTTTTCAAGGTCCCCTACACAAACAGTAGCATCCCTGTGAACTGGCATGGAAAAAGTGAGATGTGATCTTTTCAGCCCAAAATGCTATGCGTGTTTAGGGCTCTTCCCCAGCTAACAGAGGATGATCTGCATCTCTCTCTCTCCTACCAAGGCTCCTTCACCATTAAAGGAAGCTTGCAGAAAGACACCTGGGCAGTGCTAGCAGGGACGCATAAAGGCAGCAACGGTATCTTTGTGGCTGCTGCTTCCCATCCCCTTTCCAAGGGAGATAGATCTCCATGCTGGCAGGTCACTTTTAACAGTGAATATGAAATTAAAACTTGCAAGATTTCTGGGAAGAGCAGCTAAATATGCACCAGCACATATAGGAGGCTGAGTGGCTGAAGAGCAGATGAGCAGAAAAGAATCTGGGTGTCCCAGTGCATACAAAGCTGAACGTGAGCCGGCAACGTGCCCTTGAGGGAAAGGCAGCTTAAGAGCATCCTAGGCTGCATTAGACAGAGTTGCCAGCAAGTCAATGGGGGTGACACATCTGGAGTGCTGGGTCCTTGGTACAAGAAGGACATGGACATCCTAGAACTACTCCAGCAAGGGGCCACAAAGGTGATTAAGGGACTGGAACATCTGTCATACAGGCAACTTGCTCTAGCTTACGCCGTTTTGAGCAGGGTGCTTGGACTAGAAGATATCCAGAGGCCCCTGCCAACTCGCCTACTCTGTGATTCTGAAATAATATAGGATAAGGTAAGACAAAATTAATATTTTTAAATTAAAAACAAACCCCATAATTATTATTCCTTTCCCATTCATTTATAATAGATGTCAAGCAGTTCTTTTTTATTTAATACAAATAGAAAGTTAAAACTCCGACGGAGTGGAAGAATGCTGCAGGAAGAAACATGACGTTTTTAGATGAACCCGGGAATTCTGCATGTCATGGCATGAAGATGGTGACTGCACATAACATTCTGACTACCTCCTCAATAGAAGCGGTATTCTTGGATATCTGGAGGCTGTTAAAAGGGGCCCTATTTTCTTCATAAATACTTCAGAAACAAAGAATTCCTGAAGAATTAGGAAATGAATTTGTGTAATTAAGAGATCAAGCATAGAGCTTTTTTTTTTTTTTTTTTAATTTACCTCACATCTAGCCCTTTGGGGAAAGCACAACTAAACAGTTTGGATCCCAAGTACCTGTTTTTCATAGGGATTTCAGAATACAGATGGCCCCAGTTTTGCCTTACGTAGAAGAATTTGGCCTGGCTTCCGATTCCTTGAATTGACAAGTTCTTCCTACTCCTTACCCCGGCTCTTCCAGCACAAATGGATTAAGATGTTTGCACAGCAAATACAACAACCATTAAGCACAGCTGCAAGATGTGACATTAACGAAAGCCATATAATGAGCCCCAGAGAAAAGGTCTCTCATCTTTGCCTCTGGATCTCAAATGGCAGAATACACACGGTAATACACTGAAGTTGAGCTTCTGCTGAATGGTATTCAAAGACACTGTCTGGTATTTTTCTTATAATGTTCATCATTGATTACGACTCCTACTATTCAATACCAAAATAATCCCCATTCTAATTTTTTAAGAGATTGAAGTTGCCTTTTAAAAGCACGATTCCCTTGCCTACAGGCCATGGTTAGTTTAGCACACAGTAGCAGAACGTCCTTGGCAGTTGAAGAATGAATTGATGTATACAATATCTACCTTTTGCAGCAAGTAAAGTACATCCTGTGATTCTGTGCAATTTTTCGCCAGCATGTCAACATCCGCCTTGGATATAACAGGTTCTTTCAGCTGCTCTATCCAGGACCACATCAAGCTACAGAGGATAAAAGGATCTCTCTCGGTACAGATTTTATCCCAAGCTCCATCTCGAGAATTCAGTTCTTTCTTAAAAGAAAACAAAACAAAACCGAAAATGCATCATCTATTTACTTTTGCCAACATTCTCTTTGATTGTAGCTTGGCTTGTGGTCTTGATCGTAGTACTTGGCTGCTTACATTCCAACAAAAAAAGAAGACTTAAGAGTTACAAAAAAAAAAGTATTTCTAGTTTTTTTCCAAAGCATCAACATTAATCAGCAGTAGTACAAGTGATTCTTTAAAACAGAAGGATGACCTAAACAGTGCAGCTCAGAACCTTCCAATTATCTACTAGAATACATAAACCAGCTTGGGATTCCAACTTCAAAGCAAATGTTGCTAGGAGGATTTGGTTTTGAGGATAAGCAGTTAAGTTTCTACTAAATTCCTTTACTTCTACACACAGAATCCTCTGATTAGTTCTGAGAAAGCACTGATTAAAAACAACACAGCTCTACTTTAAAATCTGTAGTACTTTTATGCTACCAGCAGCCAAGTTATAACCACAGATAACTGCATCAATTTTCATTAGTTAGTAAAAGGAATGAACGCAACCAGGAACGTTTTAATCTCCTGCTAGAGACCAAAATTTGTAGGTGCATTTTGCTTGCTTTTGAAAGAACTGGCCCATAACTGACAAATACAATCATTTACTGAACCACGGCATAAACTGGTGTCCCAGTGTGCCATCTCAGATCACAGGGTGGCATTTTTGCTGTTCTAGGAATTAGCCTCGGTGAAATATGCAGAGCCCAGAACATTGCATCAAGTTAAAAATTACCTGCCACATTTCTACCTTCTGCTTCACTTCATCCTCTCCCAGAAATTCATTTATATCTGCGAGTGCTTTTGCTGCCAAAACTCTTCGGGCTTCCAAACTTAATTCTGACTGCAGAACAATGTGTGGAATCGCCTCTGACACATCTTTGCTACCGTGGCTTTCATATCCAATGGAAAAGTTCACTTTAGAAGAAGACGAAGAGTCAGAGTCCTCGGAGACATAGACTCTTCTGCCATACATATTAGTCTTGCGGTCTTTTCTATGAGCAGTCTCATTGGTAAAATTATGCCTTGGCATTCCAGGCTCCCTGGTACTGTGGATAGATGCTAGACCTGAAGAAAAGGTTCTGCTGCGTTGTACTTCTTTGGTAGAGTTCCTTCTGTGATAAAGTGAGGATCCATCTTTTCGTCCATCCAGATTAAATTTACCTTGACTCCACAACATACACGTATTATGCACTAAAGCTTCTTTGTTTAAATCCAGCTGTGGCTTTTGTTCGCCTGTGGCAGAACATTCCTCACCACCATTCTGCTTAAGCTTGTTGCACAGCAATATCTGAGCAGGTACTGTCCATGCGGTTTCCCCTTGTTCTAAAAGAAACTCAGTTCTCCTCAAATCTGACTCACTATAGCTTAGACGCCTTTTCAGATTAGTAAGAGGCTGAAGGCATTCAACATTCCTTCTTTTCCAAAGAGGATCACATTCATGTCCCAGGGAGAAAAGAGAATCCTGGGTCTCGAAAGTGGACGAGGGGGTGTGGGAGGAGTCTGATGCATCGCTGTCCTGCCTCGCAAGTTCTCTATCTAGCTGTGTGGACACCAACTGAGAAACGGTCTTTTCAATTTCAGCTGAGAGATCTGGGATATCTAACAACTCTGCCTCTATCACTTGTCTGTTTTCAGCCAAGTCTAGCAACAATTTGCAAACCAGATGAATAAGTTTTGGCACGTGTTTGAGATGCCTGCTCTCATAACCATGGAGCAGATGTCTCTGACGTGTCAGGTACTGGGACAGTGTCACTGTGTGTGCCTTGGGCTCACAGCACGCAAATACATTTCTCAGAGGAACCAAAAACTGAGTGAATTCTCTGATGCATAATAACTGCCCTCTAGTCTGAATAGAATTAGGCCTTTTTGCTCTGACAAAAAGAATTGCTTGATCGGCACTCATTCTTGTTGCAAAAACCAAGTAGCAAGCTATTAGAACACCTGGAAAATATAAAGACAAGCATTAGGTGAAGAACTATCAGACTAAAACAAACTAAAACAGTGGAACTACAGGGTAAAAATTAACAGAGGCGCCCTCTATTACATGATGCTGTTGCCTAAGTATGCAGTTGCATTTGCTGGACCACGTGGTAGTAAACCCATTCTCACTGCACTTTCAGTGAGAGCTAATTTCTCACCATGGCATCTCCAGGAGTTCCGTCGTTTCTGAACACAGGAGCAATGGTGGCTTCTCCAGGAAGGGCATGGCCAAAAAGGTCTTGAAAGAAGTAAATGACACTTCAGCTGCTCCAACAAATCTACCTGCTCTAACAATGAGCGGCAGGTTTGTAAACATGTAGCCAATACTGGACAATGGAAGCATACTAAGTGAATTTTTCCCATCAAAAAGAAGCTGTCCCATTGGAATGTAGCAGGGAGTTCTTACACAGATCCAGAAATGTTCTAACCTTACAGGTTTCTGGTTTTAATATACTAAAACGGATCTCCTCTAGCCATTTGGCTCATTTTCACAAATTTTTTTAGCATTTTTAACCATAGAATCTAAACGAATTATTAATAACTTATAACCACAGTGCTGTTTTGCATTTTTAGAAGAACACTTCTGTTGATCTTGCAGTACGACACATACCTGTCCGACCGAGTCCTGCGTGACAATGAACAGCGACCCTTCCTTCCTGCAAGGCGAAAGCCATGACTTTTACCATATCAAGTATAGTAGTGAGAGATGCCACTCCATAGTCCTTCCATCCAAAATTATAAAAATAAACTAAAATAAAAAGAGACAAGAGTTATTTTCTGCCATACCGAATGTGAAATTTTCGGCTCTATACACAGAGGAGAGATGACTAATAATAAATGATAGTAACTAAAATTGCATAGTGGATCTTAGAATCTGACTGCATACTGTTTGCAAGAGGTTAGTTTCCCTTTTCAGTGCACGCTTGCTATTCAAATTTGATAAATACATGAAGCTAGAAAAGACTTGTCAAACTAAAGTTCAGCTAGAATGTAAAAGGTATAATAAAATGAAGTGATTCATACAAAAATTACTGAGCTATATATAGGTAGAGGGTAATTTTTTCTTTTTAGAAATAAAAGCACTTCTTCAGTCAAAGGCTGTTTCTTACAGTGAGGCACTTTTTCTCATCTCACCATAATAAGAAAATACAAAAAACCTGTCAATACAAATGTCCTCAAAGGAAATTAACTTTTATAGACTACATAAGAAAACATGAATTGTACCAGAATTTGAAAGCCCATTAATGTTTTATACATTGCTGAACTCAGAAGAAAAATTAACTAGCTGTCGTCTGTCCTTTATTCTAAACACCTGAACAGAAACCCTCCATCTCATTCCACATATGTACAACCTTCAGTAAGGTGTTACTCACTCTTGATTATATTTGCCAGGTTTCATGTCTACATCCCATTTTGTGCAACATTTCTTACATAGCTGCTTTTAACCCATGAGAATTCAAGTAAAAATATCTTTAAGTGCCAAAATCAATAATTAATGAGGAACAGCAGCAGGAGCGAGCTTACTTCCAGCCTCCATAAAAGCTTCAGGAAGGTAGGTGAAGCCACTTTCTTGTTCCAGTGGATTCCCACAGCTTGCATGCTCCCCAGGGCGCTGGAGGTTAATTATGGTTTTTATGCCACATCTTAAGGAAGGAATAGATGAGTCAAAGTATTATACGCAGCCAAAATCTCCTTATCCCTTATTTTCTGAAACACATGTTTATTCTTAGTGGAGAATAAATCTTTACCTGTATATCGTTAAAATTAAATGATCTTTATCAAAAATCCAAATCTATGTTGAAAGAGAAAATGGGTCAGGAATTACACTAGTAATACCCACAACAGATAATGACTACATTTGTTACCTTTCAAACTGTTCAATAATATTGTACTTTTCAATTAATTCTGTTGAGGGTCGAGCCGTAGCCAGTATGTTATCTGTTATCCTGAGAAATTAGAAAAAGGAGATAATAATGTTGTTATTAATCATTTCCTGGGTGTGAATCAAGCAAAAAAACCCACATGCTGCGTTATATTCAAGAAAGACAGAAATACCTTGCTGATTTTTTAAAAAATTCGAGAGTCATATAGTGTTAGTGATAAATCTCGTTAAGCTGATACAGATATGACATATCAAAAGACCATCGCTGGAACCATTTAAATGCCAGGCCAACGAACATTAAAAAATTCCTTTGAATAGAAATCTGTCCCTTTAAGGTTTGTATGCTTCTGACTAGCATTCGCTGTTACAAACAAAATCAGTAAGAATGTAAAGATACATTTCATGTCAATATTACTGCATATGAATGTGCTTTCAAACACACACCTTACATTATTTCACCTTTGGTAAATGTTTTTACTTTAAAATTCTGTTATGAACACATTTTAATTAATTTGCATTTTAAACCTTAGCCAGAAGGGTCTATAACCCAGAACAGGTTTTTTTATAATTCATGATAGATAGGTATTTATTCTTTTGGATTGGAACCAAACTTATTGTAAGTCAAGGGAAATCTTTCATCACCTCTACTGGGCTGTGTACAATGGCCGTTATGGTTTACTGTTAAGGTGTAATTCTGAAGCAAGCTATCATTATGTTTATGTTCTATGATTCTATGATTTCATACTTAACTTAGCAGTAGCTGATTTAAAAGAAAAAAAACCACCTCATTATTTTCCTTTGAATTCTCTCCTTTAATACATACAATTGATGCAGTTATATTTAGCGAGAGTAAATGCTGCTTATTACCAAGAAGAGTAAAGCCCCTTGATGGCTTGCTCCTGGTCATTCCATCGAGCTGGGTTTTCATACTTGCAAGCACGTCCACCGCATGCCATCGAGCACTGCATGTGACCAGGAATGACATGGCGAAGGCGCTCCCCTACTTTGGTGTATTTTGCCGTTGGACGCCCTGAACTTCCTAGAATGCAGGCAAAAAGAGATTTAGTAAGGAAGCTTAGAAATTCATCTCCACCTCAAAAGTACCAGTTCGACCCTAAATTGATGAAGTTACAAACAGCATAAATACACAGAATATATATTTAAGGCTAATTTTTCAACACAGACTCAAAGTAAGGATTCTGAGGGGAAAAAATTGATTGCGTTACTGCAGAAGTTGTTTTTTCTCGCAGTAACTTTGGTGTTTCTGATGAAGTTAGAGGTGTGTGATATCCTTTGCAACAGCAAAAAAAGGTAATGGTCCTCTTCCACCTGAAATGGAAAACACTTAGCCATATACTTGGTGTACATGTGAACATCTGCTTCTATTCTCTCTCTTCTTTATAACTGAACTGTTAGAGTGAAAAGTATGTATTAAACCTTGAATAAGGAATCAGTGAACAAAATATGAAATACAGGAAAAAAAAAACAACCTAGTATTTTATGCATATATATAAAATACCGTTAACAGAACAAAAGTATATTGATTCAATACCAAGAAATGTAACACCAGAACTGCCCCAGTCTTAATGAAAAGTACTTTACTTTTTTTTTCAGGAAAAGTTGCATCCAGCTCCTCAGGGCTCAGAGATGACACCGCCACCATAACCCGGTGAGTCGATGATGAGAGCACCTCTACAACTGAGCTCCGGCGCCTCTGGATTATGCGAAGAAGGGGATCGGAGGAAGAATGCCTCCGACCCTGGAAGAAGTTGCTAAAAATACTCACTGCCGAATGCCTTCGGGGTGAACCCTGCATGACTGACCAGCAACAGCTACCGCCTAGGAAGGCTGCTGGGGACGCACTGGTAGGAAATCCAAGTTGCTCAGTGCTGAAGTTGCAGGGAGCTGTGCATCCTTCCGTGTGCCCCAGCAGCCAGGCAGCATGGGCTGAGCTGTCTCCATAGTAACTTGCAAAGAAGGCGCCGCTGCCAGCGGTCCTTGGGGCTGCTCAATGCGTTCTATAGGAATTGCGTCCCTTCAGGGCAAACTGTTTGGCTGCTCGATGAAAATAGTTGCATTTCAAGTAGGTAATTTTGAAAAACGGACCGGGAACAACCAAAATATTTTCCATAAACAATGGGAGTATTTAGTTACCTGTAAATAACATGCATTCGGAACTCGCTAAGACACAAAATGCTAGATTCAAGAGAATGATCAAAATGTAGCTGGAGGCTCTGCTTCCTGAGAAATCTGTAAGTACGTACATTATACTCCCCCACCTCTTGGTTTAGCATTCCACAACCACCTCTCCTCCTCCACTCAGTTGCTCCAAAATGCATCATTTTGCTCTGTAATGATTGGGATTAGTGTGTTCCTAATGAAATGATTCAGTACATGATGAATTGTAGACTGTTCGCTCTGGACCATTCATATCTTCTAACAAAACACAATTTGTTACTCAAAACAAAAGGCTTATTTTTTTGCAGGGCACAGCTTTTTTATTAAGCAAAGCTGTTAGCCCTATAGACCAAGATAAAGCAGATTATGGGGAGGAGAAGATGTATCAGCTGAGTGCTTAAGGTTTTTCAAGGTAGATATTAGGTGGCAAATTGCCTCCCACTTTGCTTCCAGTGTGCTAAGAAGGAGAATGAGCTGGCCAGAAAGACTGCAACACTCCCAAGAGCACAAAATACTCATGCAACTACGTGGAGAACAGACTATAGCGATGCTAAAAAAACTTTGTCATCCCACTGTCTGTGCATTAGCCTGCACATTAAACAGAAAGACTGGGGGAATCAAGAAAACCCACCATAATTTTGTCCAATAAGCAAATTAATCCCCTTGCATTTTCCTGAAGATATATACTGTCTTCAGTCTGTGTTTCTTTTTGAACTACAAAAGCAGTAACTCTTAGAGAGGAATTTGCATAAGAGAAAGCTCTGTTCTGATAAAAATACATCTGGTAAAAATCTACTGTTTCTTCTAGGTCCTGAACAGGAATCGAGTGCCTGAGTTTCAAATAATGCACGCTGGCTCTCTAGGAGACGTGGTGAGGTTTTCTGTAGGTGCCAGGCCTGACACATCAGTTGTAAAGTCATGTGAGAAAAGGAAAACGTTAAAGCTGACCGATAGCTGTTGTCTCAAAACTCTTGACTATTCTAATTCAGCAACAAAGCTGACATCAAGAAGTAAGGAAATATTTAAATATGCTTTTATTCTGGGGGTTGGGTGAAAGAGAAAGGAGATGAAAAAGGTTATTTCAGGTGCCACCTATTTCCAAGAAACTTTAAAAATGTTTCCTAATTAATTACATTGCTTTCTTATATTTAATTCTGTTTTCTTTCTCTTCCCAGAAACTTTTCTGTGGTATATATCAAATGATAGTGGAGCCAGAAATGAGCAAAATAAAATGCTGCACATCATTATTTTCCTACTGAATCTAGCAGGACTTGCAAGTACTCACCAAAAATAGGAAGGAAGAATTACGTTCTGTAAGAGTTTAAATACTTTATTAGAAAGGGGAGTTCTGCTGAAGGCGTTTGTATTTTCAGAGAGCTAGGCTGTTTCTGAACACCAAAATCACACAGGTTCTTTGGTTAGGAGATCTGACAATATGAAAGTTACAGAAAAGCTCAACATATTAACACATCGTGGTGAGGATATAGTCACGCAGTTTGGTTTTGTTGTAGACATTTTAGGTTTACAGCTGGGGATAATATTTCTGGGTTTGTTTTCTATAGAAAATATTTTTTTTCAGAATTTCTCTAAGCACTTTTTGTGAATGGCATATCAGAGTAAAATTATTACCTGAACTCATATTTGCAAGATAGAGACTGCTCTCTAGCAACGATGAATACGGTAGTTCATTTTGCAGCAGAACTCCAGCAGCCATTGCAGTACCTGTTGAAACAGCAATATGTTCACTGAAAATCTACAACAGAAGCTCAAAAATGCAAAATAAAGCTGAGTCCCTGGGACCTGGGTACAGAGTTGTCCAAGGCTGAAGGGTCAGACATGGACTGTACTTCCTTTTTGGTGTGCAGTCATCTTAAAATTCCAAGAGCCTCGCTGTCTCTCCTGGCAATTGAAAGTTTAGTCAATTGTGTGTTTCAAGCTCTAGAGCTTGGCTGATGATGCGCTTTATAACTGCACGTTTTATAGGGACGGGAATCACTCAACTCAAAGCACTTAAAGTACTGGAATCTTGATTTTCTCGAATTCTTAAAAGTAAACCTACTACCAGAGATCTCCAGCTAAAATCTTGCACAGGGCGGTTCCAGCAAAGCTAAGCGTACGATAGCAGCACAATTTCTAGATCACACCGTTTATAACTTTAGTTGATACTTGCCAAACAGACTGTCCACAAGCTATAGGCCTTCTCTGCTCGCCTACCTCCACTCCTTGTTTTCAGTCTGTTGGCAAGTTTGAAGTCACATGTATGATGATTCTCTTCTAACAAGAAAACTGAACACAAGTTCAATATATTAATACATTAAATATAGAAATACATATAATTACATATACATATAATTAATACATTAATATATTAATACATATATTAATAAGAACATGAATTAAGATGAATCTTAATAAAGAGTATCTGGAGCATTTTCTACTCCGCTACTTGAGCATCTGACTCTGCACTTTTAAAAGTCAATCCTTTAATAAATAGCCAGGAGTACTTGCATATAATTGCATTCTATTTGGTGTAGCTCCAAAACCTCTGTGGTTTTTTTTTCCAGTGGACTTTGAAATCAGTAAGGAATGGTTTTCATGATCAGAGGAAACTTTGTAGCTAAAGAAATAAGTAATTTTATTTTCTCCCCAGAAATTCTTTTTAGAGTTAACAGGGTTGAATTAACAAAAATTGTTTGCTTCTATTTCTCAGAAAGTTCTCTTAAAAAATCCTAATAACTTGTCCAGCTAACATCCATTTGAAAAAGGCATGTCTCATCATATACGCACCAGAATCACCACCAGTAGGACTATTTAGTTTTCCTATTTCCTTGTACTCAAGTGTTTGAAAAAATGAGATGAAATAGCAGAGATATTTCCACCATCTAAAACTATTTTTGTTTTTTTTTTTTTAAACCAGAATTCTGGCTGACAAGGGCTCTTCACTGAAAAGGGAAGAGATGGCAATTAATGGGAAGAGACGGAGAGCCAATATATCTACAGTATTACAAAATACTTGCAAGATTGTTCTAAACAGCAGAGGTAACCAATGTGTTTATTTGCTGCATAACAAATTAGACCTCCCTCGTTTTATTTCAGCAGATATATCAAATCTGTATTTCCCATTCTGTATAGCCAGGCAGTTCCGACTGACTTAAATATTTTGTCTACGTGCTTTTCAGTTTGCTAAATTTACTTCCTGACAGGTGTTTTAAATTGCACAGCATGATCAATGTGAGCAATTCCCTTATATTTCTTTCTGAAAATAAGTAAGACTGTGACAGCTCACTTTACAGAGTTATATTGCACTCCCTCGAACGCATGTAAAATGTCATTTGGGATAGGAGAGCACTATTTCAGTGTTGATGTTACTAGAGAGGGGTATTACATTCCTGCACAGACAAAAAAAAGAGCGTTAAAAGTAAAAATAGTGCTTGGGTAAAAGAAACAACTCTCTCCCAATTCTTCTGTGTACCAGATATTCTTAGTTTTCAAAAAGTCCTCTCTTCTGCATTCTTTTCATCACACGGACACTCGGTAGATGCTGGAGAAAGAAACACGCCAGGAGCATTATACCAGGTCATGGTCCTCATCAGCTGTCGGAGGGAACGGAATTGCGTGCCTTGAGGCAACCTTAACTGGATCCGCTCCATCATCTTGGACACACATTGCTATTGCCAGAACAGCAAAGGAGCTGGTCTTTTAATCCATTTCCCACTTCAAGAAATGGAACGGTGGCTCAGGTGATGTCCTATCCCTTTATGTTTTATCATGGGAAGCAATGTTCAGTAAGTGTGCATAAACAGCAGAGCTAACGAAACCAAAACATCATAAAAATTATGTCTGTGGTGCTGGCTGACTGAAGGAAATAGCATACCACATTGGCCAAGGAAATAAGGGTCTCTTGAAATCACAACACACCATCAGACATCAAGCACTAAGGGGGACATTTCAGGAGGTCCCCTCCAGGTGTGGATTTTATACTCATTTTGATGTCCGTATGTACTTTTGGAGGCGCTGTGTGTGTGTGCGTGTCCACTTCTGAGCAGACCGATTCCTAACAGAAAGGATACAACATTTTTTGTTTCCTGTTGGTTGCACCGTGCATTCACTTGTTGCATTTGGTAACGTGATGGCTGCCAAGCCCTAGTCACTGCTTCATGCACGCACATAGGTGACTCTCTTGCAGAGAAAACAGTACAGGCATGCTGCGCTGTCATGGGCAAGATCACTGCGCTTCCGCTTTCTTTTAAAGAGTGAAGCAGCCTCTTATCCACGTCCACCTCCTCTGGAATAAAAGCACTTCTCTGTATAAAATGACGGTTGAGCAGTAAAGCGCCGTGCAGCCAGTAGAACAAATGGGGGATCAAGGATCCACAACAGAGCAGG